GCCATAGTATATCTAGACCGAGTGTTGAGGATTGGGGGCCGATGCCCACGTAGAAAAGGACATACTCTGTTTCGTGCCCCTTGCGTTCTCTCTCGCTCGCACGTAGCATGACGAAAGAGAGCGCTATGCTCTGTGCGAGCGAGAGAGAACGCAAGGGGCACGAAACAGAGTATGTCCTTTTCTACGTGGGCATCGGCCCCCACTCCTTAAATAAAGGCAAACGCTCGGTCTAGATATACTATGTCTATGGTTGTCCTTTTGCATCCATTCCGCCTCATATTTTCTCAAATGGTTCTGTTTTCCCGGTGTTACCGGTTTTCTCATCTCGCCGTTTACATATTGCCATACATCGTATTTTATGAGCACTGCTTTCATTTGTAACTTCCAGGTGTCATAGTTGTCTCCATGAAGAGCTTCGATTTGTGCGAAGCTTGACATGCTCATTTTCGCGCTCATTTATACACACAGCACAGCAACGTACGATGTTTGTTTTCGAGATGCACGATGCACGTGGCGCATTTAACCTCCCAACGTTTTATGTTCTTCCGACGCTTATTCCGTTCTATCTTGGGCCCATAACCTGTGAGCAAGTGAGCGTAGGAAGAGAGATTGAAGATAAACGTCAATTTAGGATCGCACACGTTTATTTAAACAATAACTGCACCTCGTATTCATGATGCGCTCCCGAAATACAATGCAATAGTATTATACGGAATCTTGGATATATGTATATAGATACAGAAGCAGCGCGTCACGGGTCACGGGTCACGGGGGCGGCCGCTCTGGGTGCGCAGAGGGCAGCACATTTAGGCCCTGCATACAATAGAGAAAATAGTAGGAATAGGAATAAAATATTAAATATCAGGAGGAGCAATTTGGAATTATTTTACTTGAAACAAGGAAACGGAATGGGTTAATTATCTCTAATTTTTATTTTTTTATTTTATTATGCGGTTATTTATTCCGTTCCCTTGTTTAAAGCAAAATAATTCCAAATTGCCCCTCCTGATATTTAATATTTTATTCCTATTCCTAATATTTTCCCTATTGTGCGCAGGGCCTTAGGGCCAATTTCACCAAGTCCGGTTAGCAGGGTGGTTAACTAAAATGACATGAATGCTTGGTTTTCCAGCTGCATAAAGTTAGCCGGACCACTTTAACTTTTTGAGAATTAAAATTATCTAATCGTTTGGTGGTCGTTTGTTGATGATTGGTAACAGTAAGTTTGGATTTACAATAGATGTAATAAGCCTCAAGCCATATGAAATTGATCAATCACAGTCAAATATGAGGAGAATAATTAATTATTATCGGTAATTTTTTTACGGCTTAAGGCTTTTATTATACCTACTGTAGATCCGGCCTAACTGAACTTACGGATTACTAACAGAATTTTAAATCGATCTGTTTAAATAAAATAATTAGTAAAATACACTATTCTTAAAAAAAAAAGGGAACACTTCATACCCTAAAAATTAGGCTATTTTCAAACCACTAAACTCAACGAAAAATCATCGTCAAAAAATTAAAAAAGCATTTTAAAGCTTGAAGTTTCAACTTTAATGCACTGTCGGTAGATCAAAAAAATTTTTTATCTTCCTTGTTTTATGCTTTAGAAAAGAACACATTGCTTTGTTCCTGAATATAAGGCATTTATGATACTCCGCAACTTGATAAAAAAATTTTTCTTAAAAAATTTAAATCAAGTTCCACAGACTAAAACATTTTGCGTATGAAACGCTTTTCTAAATTTTTGTACGATTTTTTTTGATCGGGTTACACGATTTTGAAACTAAACCTGTATTTTTTTAGAAATGAGAAACTAAAAAATTAAGAGAAAAATTATTTTAATACAGTTAAGAGTTAAAACTTCAAGATTTAAAATACTTTTTTAATTTTTTGTTTATGATGATTTTTCGCCGACTTTCAACGGTTTGAAAATAACCCAATTTTTAGCATATGAAAAGTGTTCCCTATTTTCTTTTTCTTCCATATTTTCTCACAATTACATAAAATATTCTTATTCTTCTAGATTGCACAATAAATGTTATACACATATTGTAAAAGAGAAACTTCTCGATGATCACTAATGATCTGCAGTGATATGTAATATTTTGTATATTCAGTGATTAATGTCGATATAAACTATGTAATAGAACTTTACACGTCATCGGACGATTGTAACGGGTGATAAAATCAAGACAATTATCACTTTTATCTTCTATTAGTTATTGCATCGAAGGCTTATGCTCTTGTAAATAGATATAATATACACAGTGACAATTGCTGCAGTTCATAGCGGTGATGCCAAAAGTTTCGGATGTTGTCGCGCAGGAAATTAACATCAAAAATTCGCATACGAACATTGACGAGTATTTATGTATGGAAATTCACAAATCATTGTTACAAATATTGGATACATTGATGTGTGTGTCATATTGTGTTTGTTTCAGAATGTCGGCAAACCGATTCCACTGCAACCTTTAAAGCCGACATCTTCCATCATTCTCACCGGATACATTCCTGAAAACGCATCGCGGTATTCGTTTCGAATTATTATTTTTCTTGTCTATATGATTACTACTTCAAATTTTTATAGACATAGATATTTACTTGTAGCGCATTATTTTTTAATACCGGATTTTTTGGTCAATTTGTAATCGATCTTTTCCTTAGTAAAAATGTTAAATCACAATTTTCGTTTTGTAAATGATCGAAAAACTAAGCTTTTTCACGAGTTAAACTACAGAGAGACCAAATAGATTACAAAACTACATTTTTCTCAACTATTTTTTAGATATAATTTACTTTAATTTAATATAGAATTCTAATATAAAGCTTAATTATGAAGACATATGATATTAGATTGAAAAGCTGCAATAAATAATGATTATTTCCGATATTTTCATCACATATAGAATATTTTTATTTGGCTTGTATGTCTGAAAAATCTTTATTACTATTAAACGGAAATTTATAAAAAAGAAACTCTTATATAGAAAGACAAAATTATATTGTGTATATAAAACAATTATATTATCCGCGCTTTTTTCAAATTTTGATATTTATTTTTTACCATTTATAGATATTAATGAAATTCATGATGTTGTCATCTATTTAAAAAAATATAAATAATTTTTAAATTGCAAGATGGAAAAAAGCCTTGATAAAAAAAAATTTAGTAATTATATTTACTTCTTTGAGAGAGAGAGAAAGAGAGATAATTAAATCATTTCTTTCTTGTACAAATGATATTATCAATAGCAATACAAATATTTTAAACCAAATTAAATGGAAACATCTCTTATACTGTTTATGTTCAGAATCTTCTAAAGAGTTACTAGTCCTTTTTTCGATTATTAACGAGCGTGTCAATTTATAAAAGGAGCTTAGAAGATAATCAATTCTATCAATGTTTTTGAACTTATTATTTTTTAAAAAAGATTTTAAAATTATTATATGTCGAACTTTTGTTCATGACTTTTACACAATTTATCATGCGATTTATACTATGCGATAGATTTTCGGTGAATTTAACATGCAAGACATCTGGAAACATCGCTCTGCATTTTAATCCACGACTGGACAGGGGCTACATCGTCAGAAACACGAAAGTACGTGGATCCTGGGAGGATGAAGAGACTTGTTCGCCCGCTGGTTCAAGCGGATGCATTTTCCGCCGAAACATCTACATGCATCTTATGATCTTCTGCACGAATGATGCGTTTCAGGTGATACACGTAAAATATCTTAAAATTAGCGGGTGCTCTGTTAATCCATGCGATGGCATACTTCTCTTTCTTTTTTGGAAGATTACATTGCAACGATAAGTAAATTTTTTAGACTTTAATCATCATTTCTGCGTTGTAGATTGCGGTGAATGGAGAGCACTTCTGTTCCTTTTGCTATAGATTGCCTCTCGTAGATATAATGGCCCTAGAAGTTAATGGCACTATCGAGGATATCAGAACTCGTCAACTTAATTTATTTGTATATCCAGATGCTAACATTTGCCGGCCGTCCCGGACATTGATTCTAACAACCGAAGAACCGCTCGTCGATTTTCTAGTAAGATTTACCATTTTCTGTAAAAAAATTGAAATATTAATTCATAGAATGTAATCAAATGAAAAAGAAAAACGCTAACGATTTGCTATACATTTACTTACATTTACAAAATTTGCAAGATTGCTGCAAAGACGAAATAAGATTCTGTGCTGTGTGGGCGTTTTCATATTTCAAATAATTTTAGTCAGTTTTCAAAAATTCTTATCTCTGAATTTATTTTGTAAGAATCAGATACATCTGTCTTAAATAATCGCACATAGATTTACATATGCTTCACAATTGTTCTACCATATCGATTTATTATTGGAAAAATATATCTTTTAAATTAAATTTTTTCTACAGAATTATTTTTTTTCCCCATATAAGATAGTATCCTTTGGGGATAACATTCCGTTTTTATTTACTATACTGAAAAAAATGTATTAAATCCAAAAAAGTTCTTTTTTATAAAAAAAATTTTTTTTCATATTTCAAATAATTTTAGTCAGTTTTCAAAAATTCTTATCTCTGAATTTATTTTGTAAGAATCAGATACATCTGTCTTAAATAATCGCACATAGATTTACATATGCTTCACAATTGTTCTACCATATCGATTTATTATTGGAAAAATATATCTTTTAAATTAAATTTTTTCTACAGAATTATTTTTTTTTCCCCATATAAGATAGTATCCTTCTTTGGGGATATTCCGTTTTTATTTACTATACTGAAAAAATGTATTAAATCCAAAAAAGTTCTTTTTTATAAAAAAAATTTTTGATTTAAATATTTGCAAAGGAATTAATTATTTCAATCAAACAACAAATATATTTGAATTAGTAAAATATAAAATAAAAGCAAAGTATTTGCAAATAAAAAAAATTTTGTTTATTTTGTATTGTAAATTTTGTTTGTTTGTATGTATTTTAATTTTATTTTTATTAAAAAATTTTGTTTTTTTATCTTTATTATACTAAATTACTTTCTTTAAAAAACTTTTTTTTGTTTTTGGCTGCTTGTTTAAAAAACGCAGGTTTTCTTCATTTTAATAAATAGTTTTTTATCTTCAAATAAATATTTTTTTATATTGTTTTAAATAATGCATTTTAAAAATTATAATTTTTATTACATGCAACTAATAATTTATTTAATATAACCAAACATTTTTGGAAACAAAATATATGTTTATTTAAGTAAAAAAAAAAAATCAACAAAATGTATTTATCTGATAAAAAAAAAAATTATTTTTAATGTATAATATGAACAAAACTTGATATCCTTTTTTACAGGACGTTCCCATCACTGTGGGTATTGGTAGTGAATTTCGCGTCGGTGCTAGTTTATTCATCGTTGGAAGATTGAAGCTACTTCCGCACTCGTGAGCGTTTGAGATTGTAATCTACGGCGTTTACAATATTCTTCTACGTTTGTTTCTGCAAACGAGATGTATCACGATCTTTTGCAGATTTTACGTGAATCTGCAGAGAGGCAAAACTATTTATCCTCATCCCCTTATACCACTGCATTTAAATCCACGTTTTTTATACGGCAATAGTGCGCCGTACGTGGTCATGAATTGTTGGAACAATGGCACGTGGGATCACGAAGAGCGACATCAAGGCCACTTATCCTGGATGCCCGGCCGAGATTTTTTGCTTACGTAAGATATCCGCGAAGATTCCGCGAATTTCCAAAAGAATTTATCGTGTGTAGAAATATTGTTTACCGTTGTTGATTTCCATTGTAACAGATTCGTGTTTGCTTTAATAGCATTCGATGCGAATACGAAGGATACACAATATGGCTGGATAGTAAGATGATCGGCGAATTTAAGCATAGATTGCAATCAACAATTGTGGACACTCTACGAATATCTGGCGATGTCGTACTTTATCAACTCAGTATGAATTGATTACATCTAACCGGACTACAACATGTATACGCAATACTGCAATAATTGACTATGTGAAAAATGATAATGATTGTATGTTAGAGCGCGGAGGTTTATGGGGTTTTACGTTTGAGCCTTTTCAGTGATCGCAAAATATGCGATGCAGATGTATTTTCGATATAATGCTAAGATGTTTTCACATACTTTTCTTGGTATCATATATTTATATATATTTACATTTGTATATACTACGAGAGCTATTTATTTATGAGAATAAATCAATATCAAACAAACAATTCATATGATTTGTTCACATATATTCCAGATATATATTAGATTATCGAGATATATTAAAGCGACTTGTAAGAAAACTTTCATATTCCTAACTAACTTATGCACACTATTGCCATTGTTGCTAGGATCAAGCAGAACAGTACGAAGGCGATACGATCAACGGCCGTGCCCGCGAGAATCCATTCCAATTGCGTGGTGTTCTTTGTCGGCGAAATTATGTTCTGTCGATCTCCATCGTCCGAAATATTGGACGTCGAATTGGTTGTAGATTCCTCTGTAAGTTTACCACGCAACTCTTGTCCTGGCATAGGACGTCGCGATTCGATCTGGATAAATTATTGCCAATGATAAATTAAGAATTTGTTAAAATTTATCAATGATTATGTTATTATTATCTTCAAAAACGTGCAGTGTTTTAAGATTGATAGAAAAGTACAAACATTAAAACAAACATGAGTACATAAGTAAAAATTTTTGAAATTGCAGGAAAAAAAAATATATATATAATACTTTATTCAAAAATGTTTTATTCAAAAATATAAGTCAGTAAATATATCGGAAAAAGCTTGTTAAATATATTCGAATAATATAAATAATATTATTCAAAATTTGACAACTAAAATAAAATGTTCAAAAATAGATAATGTAAGAATAAACAATTAGAAAGAGAGAGAAAAAGAAGAGAAAAGAGAGAAAGAGACAGTGTATATAATTCATATACACTTACGAATGAATATATATAATAATATTAAAACGATAATTAATTAATTACCACACTTATAAGCTCGGAAAGTCCTAACAGTTTTCCAGGCCAACTTAATAGACATAATCTGATATTCCGTGGAAGTGGTCTGCAGTATGTTCTTTTTGACATGTTAATCACCAATATTGATAATACCAACGAAATTGTTACTAGACAGAGGCAACCACTATAGAAATAAACTGTAAAAGCAAACATTAGTCAATGACGATGTATATTGTTGTCTTTACAGCACACAGTGCGATATTTACTCATTTTAAAAGGACAAATATTTTTTCTGATTATAATTAAATGTATACATAATTATTTAATTATATATATTTAATTATTTAATTTATTTTATTACGTTGCTATTAAGGTCGAATGATTTAATGTTGAAATAATGTAGTATATGCATATGTAACATTATATGCAATATAGCTTTAAAATTCAGTTATTTATTTATTATTACGTTTTAGTATTGCTTTTACTTATGCAAAAGTGGAAATGCATAAATAATAAAAATATGATTTTTTGTTTTTTTTAAACATTTTAGAAAATATTAATATTATGATAGTATACTTGTTCGAAAGTATTTTTTTTAACTGTAATAGTATAAATTTTGCAATAACAATTAATATTTCAATTATTATTAATATTTATTGTCAGTTTAAAATTAGAGCTTGGACACAACAAATCAGGTAAACTCAAATCAGTTAAAACACGTTTGTCCTCCTAAGCCGAGCAAATTTCTTACTGTAGCATGCGGTTAATTTATTTTCTTTAATACGTAATTGAAAATAACTGAAGAGATTTCGAAAGAATCAAGCTTTCACGTTAGTCTACCTATGAGCGGAGGATTTGCAGTTAATGGTATTTTAAAGCCGAAGTAGACTAAAAACACGGCAATGATTAATACAGTACAGGCCGCAACATTGATCTTCATTTCACTTTGAGGTGGTAGCCAAAACGTGACCAGAACCAGGAAAACTATGGCTGAAAGTTCATATCGTAAATATAATAAATTAAATGGATTAAATTCAGCATCAGGTTGTGTGTGATAAGTTTAGGTTTCGAACTAATTTTACAGTCGGTTAAGGATGTTTTGGCTGTACAATAATAGCAAAAAGTTGTCAAAATTAAAAAGAAAACATTTCTTATACTTATACTGTTTGAAAAATGAAATAAATAAATCCGGATAAAAAAAATTAAAATATCACAAAATAATATGGTTTTTATATATATATAATTCTTTATAAAAAAATAATTATAATTAATATTTTTCCTAATTTATGACAAAAACTTTTGGTTATAAATATCCCCTAAAATCAACTGTGAGAAATAAAAAAAAAAAAACGAGTAATTTACAGGAAGATTTTGCGTTACTATAAGTATTTTTCTACAATATTTTGTAAATTATTTTTAAATGAGTAAATGGATTTAAATCAAGTTTTGTACAAATATTTAAGCAAGAATGTTATTTCCAGGAACCCTCAATTTATTGATAGGATTTTTTATCAGAAGAAGAATGCCGCAAACCTTAATGCGCTGCGATCCACAGTTTCCGAGATATTAATTTTTTAAAATTGTAATTACAGCAATACTTTCGCCACAACAATTGATGGTAATCTTCTGACATTATGTATGTTTTATAAAATGTATTTTTAGCAGGTCCATTTATTTATATGTAGAAAAAGAAAAAGCAAACGCGCAGGCAGGCGCAGCCCCTCCCCTGCACCCTCACCCGAAAGAAAACTAATTTAACCCATAGGTTAAATAAAATAATAAGAGAATAATAATAAATATTTAAAACATTCCCCTAGGACATATCCTAGGGGAATGTTTTAAATATTTCTTATTATTCTCACTTTACTTATTATTCTTTATATATGTATATTCAATTGTTGCATTATCTAAAAAAAAATTAAGATTTGTTGCATTAAAAAATTTTGAAAGCTTGATATATTTTTTCAAAAAATAATTAAAATTTTGAAACATCGATATCTAGAAAACTATTAATAGTAGCGCATTGTGGTTTGCGGCATTCTTTTTCTCGGTACAAAATCTGTCAAATACACCTCTATATCAAACTGAGGGATCCTAGAAATAACATTCTTCCCAATATTTATTAGTTTTGTTAATATATATAAAAATTTTTATTTGACTGGCAATGTTTTTCCTTGTCAAATTTGTCAATAAGTGCTACAATATGCGATTTTCCATAAGAATCGATACAAATTTTAAACTTAAATAATTTCCAAACCGTTAAGAGAATTGTGCTCAGGTTTTGCATAGATACTCAGAAGAAATAATAAAACAGTCTACAAAATTTTCATTTTGTCAATGTTTTGACATATGACACATACATCCTTAATTCGCAAATGATCGCAACGATGTTATCATTATATAGGAGCTTTTACGTTTTTTAAATCATGCTATTAAAATATTTTGTATAGCATTCGAGAAAATGAGTAACATATATATTTATAATAGCGTATATATATTTATGATAAAAATATATACTTGATATTTTAATAAACACATGTAAAAAAAGTTAAATGGTATAAACACTAATATTACTTAAACACTAATTATTAATACGTACCGGCAGCAGGCATCAATAATATACTGCAATAAAGCCCGGAATTCCTTTTTAAGATCATCTTAAAATTTAAGTTGATGTATGGATCCGGACAACAAGAGTATATGACCGCTTCGCGATTTTTGCTCAAATTTACTAGCTTCCACTGCGCGTTTTTGATGTACATCGGTTCCTGTTATATAAAACATTAGTATCTTAATATAATTTCTAATAACATAACATATCCTTGAATTATATATAACTCCTTGAATTATATATAACTCGAAATTATTCAACAAAAAATACCACAAGTATTTAAATTCAAAGGCATTTCTTTTTTATTTTTACATGTCTTATTACTCAAGAGAATAAAAGTAGTTCAGAGAATAAAATATTTAAAACGAAGTATATGCTACACTATATATATAATGATAAGGATGAGATATGAAGTATTTGGATGTACATAATAAACAATAAAATATTTTAAATATTCCTTTTAATGTATCGAATAATAGTCCAGTAAAATAGTATCTGAAAATGGCAAAACGGATAGACAAACCAATTTTTTTGAGACGTGCCCAATTGCATATCAATTTGCTCGCCGTGATACGTCCAAGAACCGAACGTCATATTACAAATCTGCGTATCGAAGGGCCATAGACGAAGATTCAGCTCGCAAAGTCCGACAAATTGCGCGGGCGGCACCCATAAAACTCGACCGTCATGATATATGATGCAGGCCGTATCACCATAATGCTCGACCGTACCGGCAGTTCCGCTAGACGAAAAATATACTCCTAATAATTTATGTATAATTTTGTTACACCAAAAATAAAATTCTTTTTAATCAAATAAATACATTTTGTTAATTTCAATTTTTTTACTTAAATAAATATATACTTTGTTTTCAAAAATATTTTGTTGTATTAAATAATATTATTGTTATTATATAAGAAATATTATTAATTGCATGTAATAACAATTATAATTTTTA